TACTTGGACCCTTAGGGTTCTATTTAACGAGTTCGGGGATGACATAAGTTTCTATGCCGTGCTTCGCCCGCGTAAAGTTGCGAGCCCATTTGCGTGTGGCTGCTTCATCTCGCACGGTTCGAGGTACTACTGGTATAGCTTGACCGGCGCGTGCCCAAACTTGCCTTGGAAGCACCTGGGCATAATCCTTCTGTCAGGCTAGCTTGCCAACCCGGAACTCTGCACAAGTCTTTGAGGATCAGATTAACACACCAGGTGCATGCAGGGATCCAACTTTCCATCCTGCCCGACAAAGTCAGAGGATGTCGGCGTCAACCCACTTCCATGTTCCTTGGCAACAAAGACAGCCTTTCTTTTTGCGAACAGCAACGAGAACCATAGTAAGCCCTGAACACCTGGCGAACCATACAAACCCGGATAGCAATCCCTAACCCCCCAGGTACCTACTATATAGGTACTAGAGCCCCTAGGGCCCTATAATGTAGGTACCTGGGGGGTTAGGGAATGATGCTGCCTGCTACTGAGACCGTGGACTTAGTCAATGTGGAGAATCCGGGTGTCCGGATGATGCCAGTACCCTCCAGTCTTCTTCATACAGCTCTGCGTGTTGTTGTTCATGCACCCTTCTATTGCGGTACCCTGAGCCCCTAATTCTAAGCTCACCCGAAACCCTTCCGCCTTATGAACCCCGCAGCACCTGGCTTGTCCGAGTGTCTGCGCCCCACGCTCCGCATCCTCTGAGGTCAAGACATAGGCTGCGACGGAAAGTTCGAAAAAAAGGCCCAGGAGTGTGCTGCCGACTTCTCGAGTCTCAGACAGATAAACTCTGGGAATCTTTGGTTTTTTGTTGTGTAAAAAGGGGAAGTAAAGGCGTTGGGGGGAGTCCTACATTGACGCAAGGAGGCACGGGACAGTGTGGGGAGGCTTTGGACATCATCTCATATCTGTCACTCGTCTGTGCGGGAAGGGAAACTGCGAAATTCGCATGCAACGCTAGCGAATCTAACATGCTTCAGGACAAGCTGACCTTGTGCTCCCTGCATCGGGCGATGCAACATCCCAAGAAAGCACCCTAAAGCTCCCAGGAAAGAGGCCACTATGACAAAGTGCTGCGTCTTGGATAGATTTCGGAGGTATGGCTCGGCGGTGGAACGGCAGAGAGTCTTTATATGTTGCTCCTGTCCGCAGACGACGGAAGAGTGAATGCTCACAGAATGCCCGACTCTCTAAACTGTAAAGTGAAACCCTGGAGTGTTTAGGCGCCAGGGCCACGACGCACGGTCTTTTGGAGAGTGCTTGTAGTCTCCATTGTAGTTCCTTTGTTTGGTTTAACCAATAATATAATAAGGATTTTATAAGGTACCCTCAAAAAGGACCTACAATGGAGACTATAGGTAGCTTTCGGCGCCAGGGCCACGACGCACCCTAAACCCTAAACCCTAAACGGTCTTTTGGAGAGTGTTTGGCAGTTCGGAGTTTCTCGAGGCTTGCGGTATGCTACCTCAGGGACCTCAATCAAGCTCAAGTACAGGAAGGCAGGGAAGTAACTTACCCAGAGGCTCCAGATAGACTACCATTATGGAATTGGGCCCCAAAAGACCATCCTTAATATGGTTTGAGGGGCCTAATTCCATAATAGTAGTGTATATGGAGCCTCTGGGTTATGATAGAAGCTCAAGGTTGATACCCCGCTGCACCTCGGGATTGACATGCGTGTGCTTAGATGGCTTCTCGGTTTTGGAGACTGGCCTCTAGCTTTTGGATATAAGCCTATAATCGATTAGAATAGGGTTCTGGGGCCCTTCAAGGAACCCTAACAGTAATATTGGTTAACTTCAAAAGCCCTTGAGCCAGCTTACCCATAGGCCCCATAGTAGTTCCTTTTTGGGATTACCTTATAGGATTCTATATATGAACCCCAAAAAGGAACTACCTACTTTAGGGCCTATGGGCAGTGGCCCTTTTTTTCGCCGCATCTTCGGCTCGAGACGAAAAAGGCTCACGTTCTAAAACAGGCCCCCGCCTTTGCAGCCCTTGAGGTTGCTTTCGTTCGTAGCTCGGAGCTCAGGGGAGCGCCGTGTTTTTTTTTGGGGGGTGCTGGGGATGTCTAGGAATGCATGGAGCATCGGAGTGGTTGCGCATGCTGAAGTTGGGTGTAAGGGAGTTGAAGTAACCCTAACCCCCCAGGTACCTACTATATAGGGCCCTCGGGGCTCNNCCCTATATAGTCGGTACCTGGGGGGTTAGGGTAAGCTCGTTTTGAGCTTGATCCAAAGGCACCGGTGCTCCAGATAGTAGGATCCATATTATAAGGACCCCAAATAAGGTACCCCCCCAATTTTCGGAAACTCTCATATGAGAACAATGACATGGTCTGATATGCACCCTTCATGTTGCTGCGCAGTCATGATGAGTCTTGCTGTCACGTAATGGCGATGTTTGCTTTCGACCTCAGCACAGTATCACTTCAAAGACGCTCAATCATGACCACAGCATACCATAGCTATATCAATAATTCGTGCACGCAGGCACAGGCCATCTTGGAAGCAGGTCCACTGCTGTCCGTGCTTAGTTTCTGGTGTTGTTAGTTTAGGGTTCAGGGGCTTCAGGAGTCAGCGTGCAGTAAGGGCATGGGTAACCCTAACCCTCCAGGTACCTACTATATAGGGCCTTAGGGGCTCTAGTACCCTATATAGTAGGTAACTGGGGGGTTAGGGTAAGCTTAGCACAAAGTCGAGGACAAGCCTCCGCATGCCGCGTAGCAACCAAGTCATTGACGGGGCATTGAACCTACTTGTAGCGAACGAGCCATGAGGTTCCACGATGGGAAAGAAGATCGCCGTGGTCTACGCGCTGCTTTCCGTGCCTTTGCTGCCAGTTCCAATGGCCGCGATATGGGTAGTTCTCTAAATGAGGGTCCTTTTTTGGTTCCCCAAAATAGTACGGCACCCTTGTACCCTATTTTTAGAGAACTACACATATCATTTGCATCCTTTGAGCCCGTTGTTCGTTCTTTAGAGTTCAAGGGTCCAGGCCTGCAGCCTCATGGGGCGGCGGGCGGCAGGAGTTTGGAGGGCGGGTAGTCTGTTTGACAATGTCTTAAGTGGTGGACGGACGTGGCGGAAAGCAACGAAGAGCTGAGAACTCGAGCGAGGACTGCCTTGTCTCGAGATCCTCTTTGTGACGCGTTGTGTGTGTGTGTGTGTCTCTGTTTGTTTTTGTTTGTCTGTCCGTCGGTGTGTGCGTCTGTCGGCCTCTTTGTCTGTTGATCTGTTCATCTGTATGTCTCTCTCTCTCTCTCTCTCTGTCTCTCTGCCTCTCGTTCTGTGCGTGTCGTTGGGTTTGCCGGTCTGGGCCTGCGGGGTTGCGCGTGCAGGTGAGCCTGCGTGCGTGCGTGTGGGTGAGGCGTGGGAGGTGGGGTGACAAGGAGGGGAGGCGGAGCTATATAGAGGCAGGTCAGTCGATCTGTAATACTTAATGGTTCCACGCACACGCATGCTTCGGTGCATATGTACGAGGGTGTCTTTGCTTGTTGTTTGGCTGCTTGTGGCAGGTCACTAGAGATGCCTAGCGCCCAAGAGCAGGTCTTTGGCCTCGCCCTCCAAATCGTGTCCACAAATGTCCGCTGGCATGCCGTTCGCTTCATGATCGGCCCAAAGACGCTCTTCCGCATGCAGACGACGCTGCTGTTCCTGAAGGCGGCCTTGTGTTTGCCTTTGATAGCAATTAGAAACAATTATAACTACAATTGCAATCATCGTAGTAGCAGCAATCAGAACACAAATAATACCGACAACAATCCCTAATTAATCCCCCAGGTACCTACTATATAGGGCCCCAGGGGCTCTAGTGCCCTATATAGTAGGTACCTGGGGGGTTAGGGAATGATATTAAGAGTTGCTCCGTTTCTCGGGGGAAAGTGTAGGACCGACTCAAACGACCCGAAGTCGGATCTTGGTTGGTCCTTGGTTCGATAATGTAGGGGCCTAGATAATTACCAATACTATTTCTGGGGGGGTTCCTTATTATCAATATAGTACAGTATACCCCCAAACCCTATTCTAGTTATTAAGGCCCCTATAGTACCCTTTTGCGGCTTTCAAAGTGCTCGTCTCATAGACTCGGGGCGTTTGGGTCCGCTGACATGAGCTTTCCCCAAGATCACGAACCCTGAACCCTACACCCAAGTACCTGGAGAAGCCGGCTACACCATAAAAGCGGGCTACTCCATAAAATCCTAAAGCGCATTGCGCATGTCAAGGCCTCAAAACACAAGCCGGTAAGCTTTAGTTTAAGCCAAGCCCCCAATACTAAGTCTAGAAGGGATTCAGAAGTCCACCGGCCTAGAGATGAGGCTGGTGGGCTGGCAAAAGCAAGGTTTCTAGGATTCCAGGCCCTGAGCTCCCGGAAGGTGGAGAAGGGCTCCAACTTCTTGTGCCAGATTTTCCCGGAGAGGATCAAACCCGGAAGCTGCTCCTGGGATGGAATTGAAAGAATAACTCGATGAGCATGTGGGCGAACTTGGAGGGACATTTTGGACTCGGACAACTTCCCCGCGGTTTTGCTATGTCATGCAAGCTTGGTCCCGTCGATGCTTCAGCAGTTATAGGCCACTTGCGACTTTGCCATGTGCTGTGACACTGCATGTTCTGGAACACACTCCGGTCAGTTAGTCTTATAAGCTGTGACACCCAACCTTGTAAACATTGAGGGTGTTATTGACGCCGCCCGAGCGATGGTGGCAGGCGTCGGCAGACGGCAAACCGATGACGGCCCACAATCCCGCAAGCCACCGTTCAAAACAAACAGCACGGCCACGACACAAACACCCTCAACAAAAACACCAACATGATGTTCGGGCAGGGGAGACGGACTTCCCCCCGACGCACTTGTCCCGAAACTCCAACAACCCAGGTAATCAAAGATTACCTATAGTCTCCATCGCAGTTCCTTTTTTTGGTTTAACCAGTTATATATATATATATGTTACGGATTTTAAGGATTTTATAAGGTATCCCCAAACAGGAACTATAATGAAGACTATAGGTAGCTTTCGGTGCTGAGCCTTAGGGGGTCCTGTCCGGACCCGACCTTTGCCTCGGCCGAACGCGATCGCCTGCGTTTAATGAAGGGGCCTGAATACCTATACTATTTTGGTGCTTCCTTAGTACAGGTATAGTATAAGGACCCCAAAACCCTATCCTAATTATTAAGGCCCCTGCATTATGACTTGCGGGTTTTAGGATTCTCAAAACGACCACAGCTCCCTCGTCGTGCACCGGAGTGATCGAGAGAGGAAATACCGGAAGCCCAGACGCCGAAACTGGAATTCAGGGCGAATTGCTGCCTGCACCTAAGGCACGCAAATCCTCAGGCCAATAAGTTGAAAACTCTACACCCAGAATTCTTCACGAAGAAGCCGGTGAAGGCCATCGGACTAGCATGCCTCTGAACGAAACACCATGATATTTTTTTTCGGTGTTGGCTTGTAGGCCGAGTTCAAAGGTTGGTAATCCCATCGGAAGCAACTGAGGCGACATCTTGTCAGAGGGAGTTTCTCTTCAAGATTCTTGGCCAAGTTGCTTCGGTGAGAAATTCGGACCAATCTAGGAAGACAAACGACAACAAGGAAATGCTCAGACATTAAGCCCTTCTTGAAGTATGCAAGAGGAGAGAGCAGAAACAGAAGAGTGATGTAGCAGTAGCAGTAGGTGTAGTCGTAAGAACCAGAATTGCAAGGTCAGTCCCTCAAGTTAATTCCGCATGTGACGGGTGCTGCTTGAAGTGAATAAGAGGATCTGACTAGTGGCACCGGGGGAAGACATCTGCATGGTATGTCTTCGAGGATTCCTGATACAGTCTGTAATCCTGACGAGTTGGTCATTGGTAGTTCTGGTGCTGCATGCGCTTGGCGGCATGGCGGACATGGTTGTCGGCCTTCTGGTATGGTCCTTGAGTAAGTGAGCGACAGTTCTGTAGACCTGGAGAGTATATTCATCGGGGTATACTTGGAGGCTCATGCGTAGTTATAAATCGGGTTATAAGTAGGGTAACTCTACTTATAACCCTTATTAGGGGACTTATAACCCCACTTATAACTACCAATGAACCTCCAAGTATCTCCATGCACGTCTCACCAGGTCAGGGGGCCTAGCGTTATTGTATGACAACATCTTGTTCGTTTTTGCTATCCCTGATGAAGGGATCCTACGGTTTCGCGACGTCGAGGTGAATTCGACAACACGGCGGTCCTTTCTGAAGCGTCCCGCTTCTCTCCCCATTACAATTGGCTCTATCTGTTGTTCCATATTGTCGATGTTATTGCCTGGGCCCACATGATGCGACATGTATAATGGCAGCAGAAGTCCTGAACTAGGATACTCTGTGTCTACAGGAGTCTCATTGGGACTGCCCCATTTCTCTCTTGGTAGGGTTCATTTCTACTTGGGGGAAATGTCGCCGGGCGAGTCCCTGTTGTAGTTTGCTCCCAGCCGACTCCGAGACGCATGCCTCTCCCCGGAAGGTCAGAGGCCGGAATCCTGAACCCTACCTAAACCATCCTCGAACCCAAAGGGTCTAAGTACTAATATGGTAGGTACTTTGGGGCCCAAAATATCTACTATATGGGTACTTAGACCCTTTGGGGAAGGACGCTGCCGACGAATGGTGCGCACCTCTGCTCATGAAGGTCTTCCCACAACCCTGCCAAGGCCAGCTGCCTCATTGAAAGCCCCTCAGAGCCGCTACTATAGGAAATCGAATTTACAATAACTATCATGCCTCAAAGCCCTAGACTATTTAGCCCCCGTACAGTAGGGTGATTTGAAACACAACCCAACATTTTGGTTGCCTTAAGTTCATCCGAAGGATTTCGACATGTGGGTTATTGAACCCGCAACCCTAAGCGGCTAAAACCCAGGGTTCTTTGAGGAAGTTGCCTTCTGAAGGCGCGGTTATCAGGATGTGGAGCTTCACGTACCTGGAAATCCGAATACAGCTGCTCCCCAGGAACGGAGCCAACTCAACCCCCCAAAAATCCCAATCCTGAAATCCTACATGTTTCCACAAGGCTTCAAGAGCGCATATTTCCTGGGCTTGGCGTGTCCCGGCTTGGGACTGAAGCTTTGAAACTTCGGGCAGTGATGAAAGAGCTTAGGGCTTGCATAGTGGGTCTGGTCAGGTGGTTGCAGCTGACCACATTGGTATACTATTGGGGCCTCAAAAAATACCTATGCTATTTTGGGGGATTTCTTATTCTGATTACAGCATCATATACCCCAAAACATGAGAGAGTCTAGAGCCGAAGGAAGACCCCAGGTCAGCTCGCTCTTTGGACCTTTCCACTCCGTAGCCCCCCAGGTACCTACTTTTTAGGGTACTAGGGGCTCCCCTAGGGCCCTATATAGTAGGTACCTGGCGGGTTAGGGACTAGCATCAGGAATCTTGCTGCGATCGGCCTGAATGCACTCTTGACGGTGGTCTGCATTGCCCTCATCATCCAGCCCCGTGGTTGCAAGCTGCAGAACTGTGAGCTTTGGGCGGTTGTTGACATAGACACGCTTGATGTCACGGGTACGTGCGGACGGATGGGTTTTCGGAGCGCGTTGCCAGCTTGAACCTAGAAGCCTTAGGCAGATTTGCGGAAAGGTTCTACCTCTGGTCTCCATTGTAGTTCCTTTTTTTTTTTGATTTAACCATGTTTACATTAAGGATTTTAAAAGGTATCCCCAAAAAGGAACTACACTGGAGACTATAGGTACACGAGATGAAGCTTAGCGGGTTAGACGGCCCTTCACAGGGACATACTTGCAGGGTTTTCACGAAACGGTCACCAAGTGCGTCCCCGTTGTTGATTATTGAAATCCCGTTGTCCACGATGTATTTCGGAGCATAGATGCATGTCGTTGGGGTCGATCTCAGGTATTTCGACTCACTTGAATGCCTGGACATCTGGGTGTGTTCCAACTCGCCAACTGGCCCTCAAGGTATCTCGAAGGAACATTCCACAAGGGCATCTACCGCGTCTCTGCCCCTGGGATGGCTGAACTATCGCGGTAGTATCATGATGACGTGGGTAGCAAACGATTATGGGTGAGCGCATGATCCGAAGTCGGCGAATGACTAAAGAGTCCGCACAACGACAGTCTGCTGCCCAGGAGTCGGCGCGTTGTAGCAGCAGCCGTAGCAGAAGCAGCCGCAGCAGCTCCAGCGATACTGCAGTACTGGTTGTCGTCGCCGTATAGTAGAGTAGCCGTGGTAGAAGTCGTAGTTTCAGTCGCAGTTGGAGTCGTGCTCTTAGGCAACAAGACTAGAATGACTAGAAGCGACTGTGGCATAAGTGCACGATAGCAACTCGAAGTGCAACTATTTGGCACTACAGTAGCAACTAGTGCAACACTGCATGTCCCGGTGTGCACGAGGGGCTGAAGTGGTAGAGTACCCGACCCTTCAAGCTTCGGCGGCGCCCAAAGTTCGTGTTGGCATGGTTTCGAAAGCAGAGCTACTTTGTGGTTCAGAAGTTGATATACATATAACTCAAGCACCTAAATGAGGGACCTCGGATACATCTTGCTCCGTGATCATATGCAGGCATTGGAGCACAGTTTCATCACCCCGACATTTTTCAGCTCTAATTGTGCAGGCCGCCGTTGTACACGGCATCTCGACGCTGATCGTGTTGGGCTGCTTCCTTGCGTACATCCTGGAGGCCTGGTGCACGGATGGGACGGGTCCCAGGGTAACTCTGAGAATATTCCGGGGAGGTTCCGTGCCACCCAAAAACCCCTTGCGTCCCAGATTGTCAAATTGTCGAAGCAGAAAACACAACGGAACAGTTGTGAAGCAGTGGGTGACCTTTGCAATGAAGCTTTGGTCTTCGGTGTTCAGCCTGTAAAGGTGCTGGAATTGGTCCCTGTTCAATGTGTGAGAGTCCGTAAACACTTTAGCTGCTTGCCGTATAGACAAGAAATCTAAATCGGCAATGCCTGGGCCCAACCCCGGACGCACAGGCGGTTCGTCAGCTGGATGCTGTAGGAGGCAACGGCATTCCCATTTTGGCACAGGCGAGCCGCGGGAGCCCTGGCCAGCACTACTTGGAGGATCATGGGACTTAGTAAATAAGATCACAATTAAGTCCCGTGTTTGGGGTTATAAGTATAGTTACCCTGATGAACAACCCTAATTACTTACTAAGTCCCATGATCCTTGAAGTACCATTAATCGCAATCTCAAGCAGTAGCAATGCTGCAACCATGACGGAGGATCAACGTGATCATCGTAAAGTTGGCAGCATGTCCGGGCGCGTTGCACGAATGCAGCATTCAGCAGCATTTGAGATATCACAGCTGATTGTCATGTTGCTACAGGGTTGTGAGCTTTGATGCAGTCATGCTAACATCGGAGTCCCAAAGCTGCGGATACTGATTGGTTTTTAGGGCTACAGCCAGAGGTGAAGAATCTCCGGTAATTACCGGCTGTCTAACCCCTCATAATTCCGTCGAGTTTCAGGAGTGGTGTAAGCATCGGGATCTTCATCATGGGAGGCGGCCTCCTCTTCCAGGCCTACTCGGCTCAATAGATTCACGTGTGACAGGTTCTCTCTCTCCTCTCTGTGTCTTGATGTATCTCGCCCGTATGGAAGTAAAAATGAACACACACACACACACACACACATGTTTCCACACACAATTATGCGCATGAACTCGTGCGTTACAAGCTGACTGAGCATACCCCATTTTGCTGGTAGGCTGTGCTCGTCGAAACAGAGGCACTCGTAGATCTTGAGTTGGGTTGTAGGCGCTCGCATCCTGTGTTTTTTTTTTAATGGGTCTCCAGACCAGACTAGGTGGTACACTTATAAACAGAATGCGAGAGTGGTGGTTGCAGCTCAATTCTGCGACTTGCAACAATGTTTGCTTGAGCAAAGCCGCTTCTCTATAATTAATTCTGCGAAGCAAGTCTTAATGCCATAACTTGGCCGGCGGAGTTCCGAGGGCTGCCAGGCCTTCGGAAGTACGCTCGAGGTCAGCAGTACAGGAATGTGGTGGGGGCCAAGCAAATGGCCGGTGTCGTTTCTCAACCGTCGGTAGAAGCCCCGAGCCGTGCGTCACCAATTGTTCTTGGCAGACTTAATTCAGTCCCTCCCCGGCCCACGAAGTTAAAATCCGCCGAGATTATCGCCGCTGTGCTCTTGGTCTTCTTGAAGCTCGGGGACGAACAGACTGAAGAGGACAAGCCCTCTGCGATGTGCTGTGTTTGAATTGACGTACGTGTTCTTCTCACGAGAAGCTATCTACAGTAAGAAGGAAACATCCGTGGACAAGTCGATGCCTGAGGTGATCAGAGTATGTAGTACAAGGTATACTGGAATACAGGCATGCATCCATGCATACATCATTACTTACATGCTTGTTGGTACGTATGCAGACGTATATTGTGTTTATATACAGTACACACAAATACAGGACTCGTTCTATGCGTCGTATGAGTGTGCAAGGTATTTTTGTGTTCGCAATCGGCTCCGAACCCTGCCAGTGCACGATGACCCGGCTACGATCACCCAGCCAGACCCGGTTCCTCGCTTTGCTCACCGCAGGAGAAAGCCTTACGCCAGTGGCAAAAGGACGCATACTTGCAAGTCGGGGGGGTGTGAGTCAGGTGCACATTTGCTTACACCGTCCTATCGGCTACAAACCCCCGCTTTCAACAACCCCTGAAAGCAGCACATCGATGTTGTTCTTAAAGCCTCCAGCCCTGATATGCTTTCGCTGAGCAGGTGGTCCTAAGCTTTCGAAGGACATGGAATCCTAACCATCCCCGGCCCAAATCCTTCACCAGAAAACCCGAGCTGCACTCCGGAGGAGGATGCCAAGTATTGGGCTCTGGAGCAGCAAATGCTAGGGCCTCGGCTGGTTAGGAAAAGGGTGTCGAGCTATCAGATTTTCGGAATTTTCTTGAGACGGTCTTGTTCACTCCTTTCAGATGTCAGGTTTAGGGTCTACTCTGGTCTACTCTAGGGTGTGGATTAGGCTGAAGGATCGGTCCAACAAGGTGTTCTGGTGTAGGCTGCGGATCGAGTGAGGCGTTTTGAAGGCTGAGGGCATCTACCGGTTTGTGCGCTCATTACCTTTGTGGCTAAGTTGTTTACAAGCATGATTTGACATAGTGATGTAGTAAACCAGCCCTTAACCTTAAGGCCTCGATTCCTAAAGCCCTAGAGCCTTGCTTCTGTGACTGCCACGGGCACGGTAGTCATGTTCAGGATAGTTGCGCAAGGGTGGCCAGACCATCAATCACTTTTCGGAGAAGTGGCTGCGCGACTGTCAGAGCGCAAGTTAAAGTTGGAGTGAAGGTTCAGACAGGTTGAGGGATCCTTCGAGGAGCGCTCACATCCGAACATTTGCGCAGGCTTCGGCATTGGAGTGAAAGAGGGTGGGTGGGTGGGAAAAAAGCTTCGGGCGTTGCGGAAAAGTTAGCAAGCGCCATGCCTGCCGGATTGATAAGGATATATACTGGCTACTGAAGCAGGACGGGTAGTATCGCATGAGCATTAAGAGCGTGATCTGGTACGTCTGAAGCTCGAAAACTGTGAAAACAATATCGCTCGGATCGTTATCGCCCGAAGAAATTGCTTAGCATGTGGCTGACTCGTGTGTCCAAAGTTGAAAATGTCTGTGGATTGCAAACTCATGTCGGCAGACCGTATGTGCACCAGCCTGTGTAGCGACCTCTGCTCAAAGAACCTGATGGTTCTGATTGTTGTAAAATGCAACTCCTCCAAAACCACAGATCCCAACAACATATCTGAAAAACGAAAGTTAAAGAAAGCGATCAGCCAAACACGCAGGAGTGAAGGAATTTTCGCCCTGCCCTGCCCTGCCCTGCCC